CCGCCCCGCCCCAGCGGCCGCCTCAGGGGCGGCGGCGCGGCCCGGCCGTGTGGGGCGGCGGGAGGCGCCGCCTCCCCGGCTGCCGCTCGCGGCCCCTGAGGGGCGAGACGCCCGCTGCTCGCGGATCTCTGCGCTGCCGGGGCTGGAAGGGATCTCTGGAGATCGTCTCGACCCACCGCCCTGCCCAGGCAGGGGCACCTCAGGCAGGTGTCTCAGGAACACGTCCAGGTGGGTTTGGAATGTCTCCGGAGAGGGAGGCTCCACGACCTCCCTGGGCAGCCTTTAGTGCGCTGCTACCTCAGTGTAAAGCTCTTCCTCATGTTGAGGTTAAACTTCTTGTGTTTTAGTTTTTCAGTGGTGTCGCTGGGCACCACTGGAAAGATTCTGGCACCATCCTCTCGGCACCTGCCTTTGAGATCTTAATGTGCATCAATGGGATCCCCTCTCTGTCCTGTCTTCTCCGGACTAAACAGGCCCAGCTCTTGCAGTCTCTCCTCATAAGAGAAATTGCTCCAGACCCCTCATGACCTTTGTGGCCTCTGCTGGACCTTCTCCAGTAGCTCCTTGCCTTTCTTGTGCGGAGAAGCCCTGATTTGGACACGGTGCTCAGATGTGGCCTCAGCAGGGCTGAGTAGACAGCGATAGTCTGTGTCCCCACAGACCCAGGTGGTGACGAGACACCCCCTTCTCTCCACGGACCCCATGAGGCTAAGGGACACCCTCTTCTCTTCACAGCCCTTTCCTGCCATGTTCCCTCAGTGCTCCCACCAACCATTTCATTTATCTTAAAATAAGTAATCAAATATGTGACCAAGGGCTTGGAGACGGACAATAGAATCAGCAGTGAATGCAAGAGATGTATTCTTGTATGTAATCTTTCCATCTGGATGTTTGGTGCTTTGTGGTGCTTTTGAGAAGCAAAACACAAAAGGGTGGAAAATAGCCATTTCGTAAGTCTAAATACTTCACATCTTCCTTTCCATCTGTTATCACTTTTCCCTGTTGACCTGAGAATTGATGAGAAAGGGACTTGTGACAGAGGGGAGGAGTTGCAAAACATATTTCCTAGTCCTCATCACTTTACCAAACGTTACTTCAGGACTCTTTTTAACTGAATCTTTTCAGACTCGGTCTTGTCATAATATTTCTTTCTGTCAGTCTGAAAGTTCTTGGCTTAACTCTCCCTGCATCCTTGTAATTCATGTCCAAGCTCCCCTTTGCTCAGCACTGCTGAGGAGGTGTCTGTCCTCCCCAGGGAGCAGCTGCTCAGGCCAGCATTGTCACAGCACCATTTCCAAGCACTTCCAAGAACAGCACACAGCTCAGTAACAGCTCTGGAGGGTGATGATTCATCCAGATATAACAGAATTCCAGCCCATTTTGTGAAGTGATGCTATTTTTTATAGCAAATATATAAAATTTAATGTTACATTTTCCAGAAGTTTTTTTTTTATCCATTAGAGGCTGATTATTTTTAGACCATTATAAAGGGACTACAGTGAACTTGACTCTTTACATATTTTCCATTTTTTTTGTTTTAGATTCAAGTGCTAAAAAAGCTTCTAGCAGATGCAGTTTTATTCCATCCTCTTTAATAGGAAATAATCCTCCTTTCTAAAGCATTTTTAAGAAAAGTCAGTTATATAAATCCTGCAATTAATTTGAGAAATATACAGAAAATTTCAGCCCAAGACAAAAAAAAAAAAAACAAAAAAAAACAAAAAAAAAAACAAAAACCTTCCAAAGTCCTTTAACAGTTGGTTCCTTACTTTTGCAATTGAAAATATGATGGAGAATCTAGATGTCACATAGATGCCAGGTAATATTGATTTTATTAATAGTTAAAACATTCACAGGTGATTGCAACCACTCACAGAGGAGCCCAGAAAGCTCTGGGTGTATCAACATCTTTAGCTGACAGTCAGAATAGAGAGGAGAGTTTGTAAGTTTTGTAACTGTTATACAAGATTTTGCAGAGCCTACAATTTTCATTTTTTTTTTCCTTTAAATTCTGACAACTGGGAAAAAAATAGTAGATGGTTATGTTTTTCAGTGTTGCAGCTTACAAAAGTGTCTGGGAAGATGGACTGCTATTGAGGAGTATGCTAAGGTTTTGGGGTTTTTTTTGAAAAGTGAATGCAGTTCTTAAGCTGGATGACACCCATATAGCAAAGTGAATGTGTTTCTAGACAGGACCCTGACTTTCCATTTGTCTTCCCTTCTTCTAATGGCATCTTTCCTCTATCTCTCCTCACAACTCCATATCAAAAGTTTATCGTGGTGGCTAAGAGGAAAAAACAAAAGTAATCTCTTCCCCACGTGGCTGTGCAATAAAGAGATTTGACAGAGGCAACATCAAGGTATTTATGACTTTGATGCAAGCCAGCAGATTTTTTAGCAGCTAAGAACATTCCAGCTCAAGAGGCTGGATTCTTACTGTCAGGGCTCAACACCTTCTATAAATCTACAAGCATCGAATAAACAAAAGCTTCAATAAGCGTGGCATGAATTCTACTGTCAGCTAAAATCCTGAGAAAATCAAGCTAATGGAGCAAAAGCCAGGAGCAGTGATAGATTTTATTCTGTATGCTTAGCCCCTTGACTATAGGCTTCTTTCAGCATTACTTTAATTTGAAAAAAATTTAAAAACCCAAACCCAACAACTGACCCAACTTTCAAGGGCTAATAACTGACTCTTTTCTGGGTATTTTCAGGGCTCTATAAAATCCCTCCTAAGTTTTGGGCCCTTGAAGTGCCTGGGCAATGATCTCCTAAGCAGGGCAGTGGTAGAATAAAACCAAACGTCAGAGACCTGTGCTGTATCCTGTCAGCACCATGTCTTCCTCCACTATATACTATTTTTTAAAATCACATAGCTCTTTTCACCCTTCCTGTGAGTTGCTTTCCCTGAGCCTCAAGTCACTGGCTTGAAAGCAAATCATCAGAGCTTTGGTAGCTTACTTAAATTGAGTTGTCAAGTCATACGTCAAACAGAAAGGCTGATTACTGCCAAAATATAAACATACTTCTTATTTACAACAGACCTCAGTAGATATCTTACTCAGTTCTCAACTACTCTTGCTCTGCAATGTCAGTAAGGGTGCCTTCTACCTGTGACATTCACCCTGAAAAATTTGATGGCAACGCTTTCTGACCAGCGTTGTGCTTGTCTGTAACTCAGCAGCTTTACAGCACAGGAAACTCAGATCATGACAAGATTTTTCACAATTATGAGCAGCAACTCAGTGGCAGAGTGCTCCTTTATGGGCCTGTTCCAAGAACTGTCAAAACCATCTTCCAGTTCAAGCAGGACAGTTTTGATCACCCCCTTAAGTGGTTTAAAGAGTCCAATTTCTTTGTGAAGGTTCTCAGAGGAAGAAAGCAATTTCTCAAGGCACACAATATTAGTCCCCAAGCAATTGGTCACTGTTATGAGACAAGCCTTGAGAGCCTGATGGCTGAGGTCTATTAACTGCTCACAAGACTGATAACAGAGGAAGCTGCAAAGGAAACCTCAGAATTCCAGTCTGACAATCTTTTGCACTTCTTGCAATATCACGGTGGAATAGATGCCACACAGATATTTTGTCAGAAACTATTTGTCATTTACGACTTCATAAACAAAGCAAAAGGTAATTGTATCTGCACTAGATAGGGAGCTTTTAAGTCCCACTTAGTCTCAGCTCATGAATTTCTCTTCTGCTTAATCAGGAAATTAGAGCTGACTTTGCAGCTGCTACAGGCAGGGTGGAGCCATTACACCTCTATGTTTAAGTAACAGCGTTAACTTTTCTTTTCCTTCAGTGTAAGCCACTGTTACTCTAGAGCAATACCATGCAGTCCTTCCATCTCCTACAGAGGTTTGTTTCAAAGATTTCTTTGTATTAGAAAATTAGGAAAATACAGCCCAAGTATCACAGGGAGGAGTTGTGCAGGCTCTTTATCAGTTTTCCATGGATCAGACTTTAGAAGTGGCAGAATTTTGAGGCCCTTTTAAGGCCAACCAGTTCTGGCCATGAGCATGTGGTCAGACAAGTGGTCACTGACTCCATATCCCAAGTTTTTCCTGCTCCAAACCAATATTCCACAGTACTGCCGCCACTGCTTGCACCCACATAACCACACCCTGATCTTCACAGTGGTTTACTGCAGCTTTGCTTACATCTCTTTCCCAGTAATTAATTTTGCAGTTCATCTAATGAGTCCCTCAGCGTTTCTTTTGCTTTAATGAAAGTTAATTCCCATACAGTAACTGCACAGCTGGCAGGTATAAACAGAAGCCTTAAACTGTATGATGATGTAGATCTCAGAGAGAACTCCTAATATGTGCTATTAATAAAGACATGAAAATTACTTTGACATCTATTATTTATAAATTTTTAAGAAAACCCAGAATCAAAGATTAGAACTCAATGAGACAGGCATCATAATTAGCACTGCTTACACTTCAGAGAAGATTTTGCTATTTCATTGCAAGCTTAGAAGCACAAGACATTCAAATTCTAGTAACAAAATTATTTTGACATTAAAAATCTTAAAAGCCCATTAGGGTCTAAAGTCAGCTATTTCATAAGAGGGAAAACCAGACAATGCTCAAATCTCAATGGTGGAAGCACTAGAAACAGAATGGTCCTATTATTTCTCCCATGTTCCTTCCCCAAGGATGAAAAGTCCACTGA